AGGGTCAAGGCCTCCATTCCATGGAAGGAGCAGAAGTCAGTTACACACTCAGAAAAGTACTGGGATAGTCTGGGTGGACAAAATGACTCCTTCCCAAGCCCCTTGACTCACCTGGTTCCCAGAGTGTTGCACATGGGTTTTTCTTCCATTGGCATAAGGTCCTGTTCAGCCTCCAACCCACAGTGCCTCCCTTCAGCCATGGCTGCAGCCTCCAAAAAAAAAACTCACTCTCCTCTGCTGGGCTCATAGCCCTGGGGTATTACTGGAGACACACCCATCCTGTAGGACTTCATCCTCTCTGGGTGAGTCTGAATCACTCATTGCTAGAGTGATTAGACAGAGTGATCATGAGATTATGGGGATCCGGAGTTTCCCCCTCCTTCTTGGTGGTCAATCATTAAAGGGTACACTGGACATCTGGATGGACAAATGACTCCTGCCCAAGCCCCTTGATTCATCTGGCTCCCTGGGCGTGCACGTAGGTTGTTCTTCCATTGGCATAAGGTCCTGTTCAGCCTCAACCCACAGTGCCTCCCTTCAGCCACGGCTGCAGCTCACTTGTCCTCTGCTGCGCTCACAGCCCTTGGAGTTATGGCGACCTCTTGGGTGTTGTCTGGAGACACACCCGTCCTGTGATAGGCAATGTCCACTATCAGATGTTTCCTCCCTGGCTCTGCAAGGCCCCCAGGAACTCTAGAGACATTATCACAGTTCACGTCTTGGGGAGATGACACATTGTCTAGGGGAGGCCTTTTTGTTCCAAGTTTCTGCCACACATTCCATTCCCCTCCACATTGGTACATCCGTAGCTTCCCTAGAGTAAGTTTGGAGATTGCTGATGCCTTTTCCCTCTAGGTTTCCTGTTACATTTGTTCGTAAAGAGCTTGTACATGTGAGAGAGGAAGTGGCTATGACAAGTTAGGAGCCACTTCTACAATTTTTTTTTTCTCAGAAGATGTAGCCAAAGTCATTTGGACCCATTTCTTTACCATTTCAAAAAATAATGTAGCGGGCTGAGGTTGGGGCTCAGTGGTAGATCACTTGCCCAGCATGTGCCAGGCCCTGGATTCCATCCCCAGCTCTCAAGAAAACTGTAGAATACCAAGTAACCTGGAGAAGTGAGCTCAGGGGCATGAAGAACCTCTCGAGGACCACACCCCTTGTTAGGAAAATTTCATATTTTGTATCATTTTTCTGTTTCTTTCCTTTCTGGCTATAATCCTGACTTTTTCTCATCTGGTTTTTAGCAGTTTGACTAGGATGGGCCAAAGGCTCTGTGTGCACGATTATGTCCCCATCCATTGGAGATTATGCCTTGTGTTAATCCAGGGATATTTTTAACTGGTGGGATCTCCAGCAATGTGGTGGCTCCATCTTGAGGCCCTTTAATCACCACCTGGGTCACCCTCCTGCAGCTAGGAGACGCCACCCAAGAGACCATGTGTTTGGCCCTCTCAGGATCCTGGCCATAATTTCCTTCTGTGGTTGCCTCAAGTGAGAACTTCAGGAATTCAGCTCATAGCAGAGCAGGAGAGAGATGGTCTCCTGACACTGGTAGGATGCTAAGAAGATACCAAATTTCCCTCTGCACCATGACTACCACCTCCACTCAATAGCTAGGAGACTCATGTGGCTGGTCCTAGAGTCATGGGGCAGTACAGTGGTGTGTACCCTCCCCTGAATCTCCTATGCCACCCAAGGGGAAGGCTTCACCTGCCGGCAGGTCCATCCATGTCATGATCAGGGGACAGTCCAGAGCGGGATCAACCAGCCATAGTTTTGGAGACAGGAGAAAGACACCCCAGTGTCTGCAGTTACTGAGCTCACTGAAGACCCACTACGTGCCTAGGAGCATCGGGCAGCCTAGGGCAGATATGCTGGTTGGCACCGCATTTTCATGGGCTTCATGGCCAGTACAGAGCATCTTTAAGCAGAAGCTTACATGTAAATGTAATACATTTAGACAAAGATTAATTTTCACATGTAAAACATTTCTTATAATTTAAAATTGGGATTTTGGATGAGAGCATATTAACAGTGATTATTGAGATATGTTGGTATTGTAGAATTTTATTTTTTACACTTTCTTCTATGGATACATATCATTTTGTAATAAGAAAAGGACTTGCAAGATAAATAAAGAGAAAAATAAAGGTGACTTTCCTCTAATACTGCATTTATTTATTTATTTATTTTGGTCTCACTTGGCCATCGGTGTTCCTCTCTAATTTTACAGCCAGTAGTCCTCCCATCCACCCAGTCTGTGGCCTCCTGTGTCCAGCGGGAGACACCTACAGGCAGAGAGAGGAGCCAGGGCAGGGGAAGCTACTGTCCGTGGTGCTGAAGTGGACACCCCCTTACCCCCACCTCAGCCCCCACCATTCCACCCATAACCTCACTCCTTTGTCTTCCCACTGTATTCAAAACCCCTGCAACTTCCACTACCTGCAACATCTAAGGGAGAAGGGATTTCTGGTTGTGCATCTTCAAATTTTAAGTTCACATTGGAGCCAGTAGCAGACCAGATCAAAGTTTCTCAGACATAACTGTGGATACTTAGAAACTACTGAATGTTCCAGTGGTTTCCTCCAACATCAGGTTGCCATGTTTTCCAAAACTCAAACATCTCTTTGGGGTTAGGAAGTTACCTCAGGGGAAGAGCACTTCCCTAGCATGTGCAAAGTCTTGGGTTCTATCCCAAGTACCATAAAGAAATAAATATAGAAATGTAAACATATTTCTTTTATGATTTTAAAACATTTAAGCTTTAAAGTCATGATGCAAAAATAAAGAAAGGAAAAAATTGGACTCTATGTACTGCAAATGCTTAGAAGGTATTGGCTCAGTTATATTGTACATGCAGACTTGTAAATCTTCAAAAGAGAACAAAAGGGGGTGTGATTAAGTAGTAAGGAAGGAAGCCTTAGTGAGATAAACAATTTCCCCCAAGCCAAACAGCTAGTAAGTAGCAGACTAGGATTCTGATCTTGATAGGATAACCCCAAGAGGAAAGGAATTATCTTAGTCCATCTGGGATGCCATAGCAAAATAAATATCTTAGGCTGGAGAATTCATAAACAGTAAAAATGTCTAGTCACAGTTCTGGAGGCTGGAAAGAACAAGGTGCTAACAGTTTTGGTGTTTGGAGAAGGCCTGCTCATCATAGATGGAACTTCTGTGTGTTTCCTTGCATGTTGGAAGGGTAAAGAAATCTCCCACTGAGCTCATTCAAAAGAGGGAACTATACCCATTCATAAAGGATAATGACATAATCACCTTCCAAAATTCCTCCCTTTTCATGCCACCATATTGGACTTCAACTTATGAATCTGGGGTGGGGGGAGTACAGATCACAAATAATCAGACCCGAGCATGGACTCAGGGTCATCTGCCCAGATTGACTCTAGCTATCTATCCCTTGTTCCTGAAAGTAGATCTTGTCCTCATGGTCTGAGATGGGGCTCCAGTTACATCATCGATATTGCAAGCAGCAGAAAGGATGAAGGTGGAAGATGGGGACAGACTGTCCTAGTTTTCTGTTAGCGAAAGCTATCAGAATTATCACAAAACCTTTGACTTTTCCACTGACAGGACAAAGTCATTTAATCAAACCAGCTTCAAGAAAGTGGTTCAAATATAATCTATATATTCCAGAATGCTATGCATCTTAGCAAAACATTGATGATTCTAAAAGGGCAAAGATGGATATCAGGATAAACAATCCACAGTCCCTGACCAGTCCACCCCAGACACTCCCAAAATATCCACTGTACACTCGCCTTCCTAAACACAGGAACACAATCATAAAATCTCCAAAGGCTACAAACACAAAGTTCATCTGTCCTCTCCACTTTGCTCTCTTTTGCAGAACTTTCCCACAGATAATCTTTTGATGATAAAAACCCATATAATAAACATGTTGAGCCAGCTCTGGGTCACTGTTCTCAACTAGAGGTCAGTGTCTCACCTGATCCCAGCTTTCTCTCTTAATGTTTGTGTGTCTTTATTAATACCCCATGGCCCCTTGCTGGTTTCTAGAGTTTGGCCATGCAGGTCACGGCAAATGATCATCCCAATATATCCAAAAATTGGATAATCACAAGATCATGCCAACTTAAAATCTCACTGTAAGCTAGCTGCTTCCATTAATTGCAGACCAAGTTTGGATTAAGTTCCCCACTGCTTTAAAACAACTTTTAAAGCTGGATGCTTTTCCAATTCCATAGGTGAATAAGTGATGTGAAAAGACAGAAAGGAATCACAAAACTGGCTGGGGTTTAGTTCACAGGAAATGGCTTTCCTAACGTGCACGAGACCCAGGGTTCCATTTCCAGCAAGGGGGGAAAAAAAGCAGGCATTATTCTGATGAAAGCAGAAAGTTATAAATGAAATGAACATGAAGTAGGCTTTTGTTCTCAAGTCAGGAAAATGGGAAGCTCATGAGGAGATGAAAAGAATCAAAACCCAGGAGTGAAACAAGAGGGGTTGAAATCTCCAAGATCCTCTTCACAGAAGTGGGACCTCAGGGGACGTCTCTAGGCAGGGAGTAAACTGAAATGAAGGCAACCTCAAGTGTGATTGCAGAGTGAATTAAACTGCCGTAATGACCTTGGATACCACAAGCTTTGATCTTCCTTTCACATAATCTACAGAACGTTGCTTTCTTCACATTGTGCAAGTATTCAAACACGACAGCCACTATCAAGGTAAAGATAACCAGCCAATAAAAAGTGACCCTAATAAAAAGTTTTTGAAAAATCAGCAAAAATAACAGGCAATAAAAATACAGCGACTCCAATGATCAGACACAATATAAAGCAACCATGCTTAGTCATGCTGAGCTCGGAGCGCGGGCCCATGCCTGGTGCCCGGCTATCCAGAGGATGAAGCAAGATTTGCGCTGGAGCCCAGGAGTTAGACATTGCTCTGCATAGATTCTGTCTCTTAAAGTAAGAAAAGCAGAAGATGGTGGGAAGGAGCAGGAGCAAAGAAAACACAACTGAGTTTGCTATTTTTAATAAACCTAGTAATTTAGTAGCCACAGCAACAGTGAAAAAATCCCATGATGAGAAAATGCAGGCTACATTAGGAGATGCGAACAGAGGTAAGGATGGTAAATATTTAGTGTTCTGAGCGTTTGTGACTCAGAGGCTCAACCCTGCCCTTACTCTAGGTCCACCTTCTGCTCCAAACCCTCCCAAGACTCCCACCATGTGCTCAGGGGCTGTGAGGCCAGCCAGAGCCAGCGAGGGTCGGGCCTCACCTCCCGCACCTAGGCCACCACTTTGGTTGCCCGACGTCCCCAGCGCCCCCTGCTGACGCTCGGTGAGACTCAAACGCAGGTGAAACCGTTTTATTGCTGGTATCTGCCCAGGTAGCTTGGGGGATCTGCATGGAGGGGTCCCCGGACCGGCCTCGGTGGGTCACTACGCGCCGGAGCTCAGCGGCTCCACGCGCAGCCAGAGCCCGCCCTCGGCGCGCAGGATCAGCTCGGGCTTCCTGCGCGGCTCGGTGTCGTCGGGCAGGACGCGGAAGCGCAGCAGCGTCAGCGCCAGCACCACCTTCATCTCGCTCATGGCGAACGTCTGTCCGATGCAGTTCCTGCGGGCGGGGTGGGGACTCTTACTGCGCCAGGGACCCCCATCCAGGACGGGATCCCCCTTCCGACCCTGAACAGCCTGAAGGGCAGCGAGGGGGGCTGACGTGCCTGGACCGTTGTGGGTGATCCTGTCCCCAGAGCCTGGCCCAAGCCCCCCACACACAACTCAGCCTAGAAGCTGGGGTGGGAAGGCTCTGAGCACACGGTGAGTGGGCCCCATTTTGGACCGACCTCTTTGGGGACACACCCAACAGCCACTCTCCTAACCTCGGCACACAAACTACAAGAGCGGCAGGAAAGACACCAGCATCTGACCATCCGCAACTTCCCCCCTTTCCGCACTACCATCCCCAAAGTCCCGATGCCATCACCCCTCCCCCATCTCAGACTCCCGCTTTCCTTACCTAGGTCCCGCGGAGAAAGGAATAAAAGCTAGAGGTGACCTGTCCTTGGCGTTTTCTGGGTCAAAGCGGAAGGGGTCATACACCTGGAGGGGAGGTCCACCAAGACACAGTTGCTGGGTGGGGTCTGCCAGCACACCCAGGGAGAGACAGGGGTGCGTGTGGTGGGGTCAAAACGCCACTCCACCCCTGCAGTGGACAAGAATGGGAAGAGGGAAAGGCAGGCAGCACCTCAGGGTTCGGCCACACAGCTGGGTTGTGATGAGTCCCGAAAATACTGATGAGGCAGGTGACTCCTGTGGGAGAGAAGGGACAAGGTCCAACTGCCTGATGGAGCCCTTTTCCTGCACAGGAGCCTCCTCCCCCTGCCTTGTGGGTACCTTTGGGGATGACCCGGCCGTCGGGGAGCACAACGTCCTGGGTGCAGCAGCGGGAGATAACTGTAACTGGGGGGTGCAACCGCAGACTCTCCTTGATGCACATGGTCAGGAAGGGCAACTGGGCCAGGTCGTCCCTAAAACCACCACCACCCCCAAATTATCCCGAGAGCAAAACAGAGTTTGCCCGCGTCTGGGTGAAACCTTTTCTCCTTCTCATAAAATAAGCCCCAGATGGATCAAGTATTTGAGAATTGGAAAAGCAATTAGGAAAGGACTGGAGAAGCTGTAACTAGGTATCTTTAGCAGTTTTTCTTCAAACACAGTATCCAAAAAAAAAAAACACCACTGTAAAGAAGTCAATAGTTTGCATGAAAATAAGTGTCCTTGATACTATAGAGAAGAATAAAAATATAAACAAGTAAAAAACAAAATACACACATTTAATTGTGTGTGGGGGGGTATCAATTTTGTTTTATTATTATTATTATTGTTTTTGTTGTTTCAAGACAAGGTCTGGCCCCCAAACCTTGATCCTCCACCTCAGCCTCCCCGGTAGCTGGGATTACAGGTGTGCACCAGTAAACCCAGCTCACTGTACCCACTACAGCTCTTCTTCATCCCCCTCTGTCTCTCAGTCCCCCCTTCTCTTTCTCTGTACTCTCCTTCTCTCTCTTCCTTTCCACCTTCTTCCTTTTCCATCTGAGCCTTTCCTCTTCACACACAAACCTTCACCTCTCTTCTCTCCTCCCCCTTCTGTTTTACTCCTCCTCCCTCTGCACCGCCCATTTTGGTAAAGACTTGCTTCTTGACCTAGAGCACTGTTCCTCAGATGAAAAAGAAAATTCTTCTGCTAATCATTCAGGGGCTCAGTTGAAACCATTATTTTACCTCTAGCCGTGTTTCTCTTCCTCTCAACCCCATTCCTACCCTTGTATGCTTGCAGTGTCCCCCACCAGGGATCATTTGCCCACCAATCTGAGAGCTCGTGGAAGGAGATCCCGGGACTGTTTCCTTCTCAGGTCTCTAGAGCACAGAGCAGGGCTGAGCACAGAATGGGGGATGGGAAGACAGTGTGGGCCTGTTTTCTGAATGAAGGCTGCACCGATGAAGGATGCAGGTGCTCTGGGTACAACAGATGACTTTTACTTCCAGGTATCTCCTATGAATCCTTGGATTGGATAGGAAGTTAAGAATTACGTACAAGAGAAGAACAAACTTTTAGGAGGTGAAGATCCTTGAAAAAGTGCTATTTGAAAGAAAATAGAGGAAGTTCAGGGGAAGTCCATTTCCTGACCATGGCTGACAGTCCTGTTCTACCCTCACAGATTGTCACAGTGTCACTGAATCTCCCATAAGTTCAGATCATTTGTCCCCAAATACTGCAAATGTACCCTTGCTAGTCAGGTTGGGTACTAGGCCCTGCCTCTGAATTGGATCCTATTCCCACAAAGCAATAATGAAATCACAAGCATCTTACCCATCCCCACCTGGGGAGCAGGGCCCATGAGAGGGGCTCAGGGAGGGCCTTGAGGACTCACTCACCACTCAATCTCTTTAGGATCACGGTCCCTCAGCAGGTCTTGCACCTCCTTCCGGCAGCGCTCCTGGTATTCCGGGTGCTTTGCCAGGTTGTACAGGGCCCAGGAGAGACCACTGGCCGTGGTGTCATGGCCTGAGGGGCAGTCAGGCAGCCTTGGGCCTCTGGGCTGCTTCAGCACCAGAGGGTGGACAGCGCCCAAGCATTGAGGTCCCAGGAAGGATGGGAAAGAGGAGAATGGACAGAATGCAGTGATCCAGGGTCCACCCAGCCCATCGCTGGGGTGGAGAGACCCTCCACCCCCTCTGTAGTCCTGCACTGGGGCCCTCACCCTCAAACATGAAGGTGTCAGCTTCTGCTCTTATATCCTCATCCGACAACTCTTTTCCATCTTCATCCTGGAGAGAAGACAGGACATCCCACACCCCAAATTACACCAGGTCTGCAGGATCTTCAGTGTGACTGACACAATCTCTACAGATCTGACTTCAGGGGCTGGGGCTGGGGCTCAGCGGTAGAGGGCTAGCCTAGCCCATGTGTAGGCGCTGGGTTCAATCCTCAGCACCACATGAAAATAAATAAATAAAATAAAGGTATTGTGTTTGACTACAACTAAAATACTTAAAAAAAGATCTGTCTTCCATCCAGAAACCCAAGCCACATGCACCCCTAGACCTCTGTTGGTCACCATCATCTGAATCCCCACCACACAGTCATCCTGCTGGGCTTCCTTGCCTCCTAGTTTGTCCCTGGCAGGAAGAATAAATGATCCATGAATATTTTCATATTCTGTATAATTTCTGTATAATGAGGAATTTCTGAGAAAGGGTTACTTACTGGAACTTGGGTTAGAGGATTATTAAATGGCAATTTACCTTGGACATTAAGCATTTAACATTCCAAATACATTTGCTCACACTCTCAAGTGAGAATCTTACCTTAAGTCCCCAGAGGGATTTGGTTCTCAGGCTAATTGACTTTACCTTTCCACTGAAGATAACTTGTTTATTTTCCAGAACAAAGTTTGTCCCCTCCCTCTCCACCCTGCCAGAAGAGCAATTGTGCCACCTGTCCTATATAAGCTTAAAAACTCAAGATTGGAAGCTTCAAAACAGATTAAAATCTTGCATCATCTGGGGAAGGAAGAGTTGGGAATTGGGAACCATTGCTACAATCCTACTCAGGGTGCCATTACTGTAATAACTGGATTTTGTATGTCACTTAGTCACTTATGGAATTGATCAAAGTGTTTGGTGCATTTGTCAATATAGATATAGATACAGATATAAATGTAGTATACAAACTTCTTAACTTGCAAATAGATTAAGTTATCAGGCCCTTCACAGTTTCAGACTATGGAGTCCCCTGCTGGCTGCATCCAAGAGTTATCTCTAAGACCTATTCAGTTCTGGCTTGATCCTCCCTTCTCAGATACCTCCTATGGCTTCCCAGTGTCCTCCTGTTGAGAAGCTCACCTTGGTCAGCAGGAGCACATCGATGAAGTCCAAAGTTTTGGACTCAGCCTTGGCCTTGAGGAAGTCACTAATACCATGATCAGGGAGGGTGCGGCGCCGCTCCTGGATGACAGCATCTGTGAAGTCATGCACCAGGCGGCAGGCCTTACGGAAGCGCTGCCCACTGGGGCTGAGAAGGTACAGGAAGTCCATGTGCATGAGGAGTTGCTCATTTCTTTTGACCACAAGGGCACTGAGCTCCAAGATGGCAGCAATATATTCACTGGGCTTCCTGTAGGATGAGGACATAAAAGGAGGCAACATCTCAACATAACTGATGCCCAAGGAGGACTTCTCACCAGCAGCTGGGAGCTACCTCCCATCAGGAAAAGTGAGTATCCAGCAACACATGGCCTCTCAGATACACAGTGGATATAGGCCATCAGGTTGACTTTCCTTTGTCTCTTCTCTCTCTGCATCCCATGTCTGTGACCCACCTTCATGCCCCAAGGAACCCAGAGCACAGTCTGGTCATCAAGCTCCTCTCCTTTGTTCAGTATCCAGTCCTGTCCTCTTTCCTGCCTGATACTGTTCACAGCTCACACATCGTTCTCTTCTAACTGGTCCTAGAAGCAGCCCCTGCCCTAGCCTCCTTGCACCCAGTGTCAACTCCAGGTACTGTCTACACGAGAAGTCCCACAGAGTTCAGCTCTGATCATGCCCATCATCAGCTCAAACACCTTCATTGGTTCCCTGAAAACCTCCTGATAAAATTCACACTCCTTTGCCTGACTTTCAATCTCCTTAAGACCAACCCACTCCTGCCACTTGATCCTCATCCACAGAGTCTCCTTCTTGCCTGTTGTACACACTCTGCTCATTTGAGCCCCCTTACCTTTACTCAAACAATTCCACCTACTTGGAAGAACTAATTTCTCTCTCCCCTTCCCTGTCCTTCAGTGCCAGTTCTAACTCACAACCTCCTGGAAGCCTCCTCTGGCCCCTACACATAGCCCTCCCTCCCCCACGGACTCACTTGAGTCCCTGGCCTAGGTTCCAAGACCTTAGGAAAGGACTCACTCCTGACAATTGCTGTCGAAACTGAAGACGCATTTCTGCAGACTGTCCAAGGTCATGAGGCTGATGTGCTCAAACATGTCCAGACAGGTGCTGCCCTCTGAGACCAGTTGCCGCCACTTGGCCTGGCCAGAAAAGAGAACACGGCTGGGGCTTGGCCTTGGCTCCCAGAGCCCCTGCCCAACTACTCCTACCAGGATGGACTCTTCAGAGCCAGCCTCATTGAGGGTCTTCTGTCCAAGGCCCCCAAACCCAGGGAGGATCATGTTCAGTAGGAGCAGAAGCTGTTCCTACTGAGAAATGAATGCCCAAGGCTGGCAATCAGTCCAAGTCCCAGCACTGCCTCTGTGCACCTTTAATCACCTGTTTGCTTCTCTGAAGTTCCACATGTCAAATCTTCAGCAACAGTTAACCTGATCTGCTTCAAAGGCTGATTATCGGAGATTAAAAACCCTGCTTCACCATTCATGCTCACTTACTAGCTAGGTGATCCTGAGCAAACTCCCTAATTTTTCTCACACTCAGAATGATTATTTGTCATGGGCAAAATAACCTGTGCTATTCATGGTTGTGGAAAATAAATTGGACAATATGTATTAAGCAATTGGCATATGGCATAATTTCTGGTATACATCGAGTCTTCAGGGTTAGCTTTCCTCATCTTCATAGAGATATATTGATTTTAAAAATATTTTTTTAAAATCTCTTATATTGGGAGAAGGAGTCATGCATAGATACTGAATGCAAGGTTCCTAGCCTGGACCATTTCTCAAAGGTATGTTTGTAGAAAATAACCCCAAGATGGAATGACTCCTCTGGGTGAGATTCAGGCTAGTTTCTGTTTGCTATTAAAGCAGATTCCCTAAATCTAGTGTAATGGAATATATCAATGAGCAGGCACCTAATGAAGCCAGCCTTGTCACCACCATGGGATTCGGTGGCTTGCAGCAAAGATTAAAGCAACAAGAAGCACAGGTTGCTTGGTGAGTCATGAGTAATCAACTACCCTTTGCCACTGATCCAGGAATCTCATGTCTTCTGGAAGAATCCAAGAACTGATAACAAGCTAACTTATTAACTTACAAGTAAGAAAAATCCTAAGCACTTCACAGAAACCTCATCCCCAACATTACCCTGCTTCCTAAATCCACATCTTTTGCAATGTGATTTTTCAGCAAGAAAAGAAGGAGAATCTATTTTACCCCCATTTGATTATGTGATAGAATTCTGACTTTGGCCCATACAATGTGACTAAAATGAGGTCATAGCTCAATGAAGCCTATACTTCAAGAGACACTGCAGCCTCCTCTCACACCCATGGAACCCTATCTCTGCCTTGGATCCCCAGATTATCTTCTGAAGGGACAGAATCATGCAGAAGAGTACAGTTGTCCGAGATGAGGACATTCTACATCAGTCAACCCCTAAACATGCGAGGGAATCTTCCCAGGGTCATCAAAGTTGCCTACCTGACCCACAGCTGATCATATACCTTGAGTGATTCCATCTGCATCCAATTTATTTAGAAGAACCAGCCTACTGACTTATACCCTTGTTAGCATCTCTAAACCTCATTGATTTTCAACCAATGGGTTCAGAAATGACTTGTTAACAACAAATTCATCAGCACTGTGGCTTTACAGACCTTCTGTGAGAAAAGCATAGAAACTAACCCCTTCTGAGCACCTACCATGCACCAGGGACATAACTCCACTATATTATTTAGGACAACTTTTAAGTACAGATTTTTATTCCCATTTTATTAATGTGGAAACCGAGGCACAGAGAGAAAGACCAATGGTCTCAAAGTGGTTCATCAGAGCCAGATCTGTAGATCGGCTCTGTCTGTGACCCTTCTCCCACCCAGGTTCAACTTTGGACACTAGGTTCAAGAGACTCACATGCATGACATTCGTACTGTCATTGAAAATCTTCATATAGGGCTTCAGGATGTTGAAATGGAAGGCAGGTGTCAGCAGGCGACGATGGTGGTTCCATTTGTCACCAGAACTCAGCAAGAGCCCATCCCCTGGTAGGGCAGCCATGGGCAGTGGGCAAGGGCACCAGCTCACCCTGGCACCCAGGGTTCCCCCAAGCCCTGTCATCTGCAGTTACTTACCCAGCCAGGGCTTCAGGAAGCTGTAGAAGATCACATCCTTCAGTGCAACCGCAGCTGACGTGAACAAGAACAATTAGGGCCATGGAGAGGGGTAACGGGTGGACTGTGGGAGGAGGTGGAGGCTCCCCGGCAGGGCTTGCACTTCCCCCCTCTAAGACCAGCATAGCAGGAAGGATTCCAGGGGAGAGGAAATAGGGAAGAGGGAGGAGGCTAGAGGGGACCAGGCCAGGCTGCAGCAGCAGAGCCATGAAATAGCTACACACGGCACAAGACAGACCAGCATACCTGGGCGTGAGTCCTACAAGCTCCAACGTGTTCTACAACATTCTAGCACAGTACAACACTCCACAGAACTTATAGGAAACCCTGTCCACCCAGCACCATTTGACATCTCCTGACATAGACCCGAGACATGTGACAGGGACACTTGTTATGTCCTGACATGGGCAAAACATACATGACCTGCCAAGACATATACAACATCCTCTGACATGAACCAGAGAAGGTCTAACATGACATCTGTGCCCCACAGACAGAATTGAAATATGGTCCTATTCATATCCCAAATATGGCCCAGATGTGACCCAACACATGTTATCCAATGTGACCTGGATAATAAGACCTGCTTTAGACAACACTCAGTCTCTTCTCCAAGGGACTCTGGGACCCAGACTCCAGACAAACCACACACATGGCCCAGATGAGGCCAGCAGAAAGAAAAGATAATCTACAACAGAATCACAGACAAAACCACACGGACTCTGACATGCCCCAAATGTCCTTGGCCACAACAGAGCCCTAGGCAGGACCATCACCAAGGATCCAGGTGTAACCAGGCATACATTAGCCAGCTGTAACCAGGATCCGGGAGTAAATGTACATTGGCAAGTTGTGGCCATTCAGCAGATGTCACATAGACATGCTCCAGACATGAGCAGACATGACCAGAGGTTAGACAGGTGGGGGTCCAAGTGAGACAGAGGCAGGAGCATCACTGCTGCAGCCCCTCCAGCTTGCACTAGGTCCCCGAACAGCTTGAGGCAGCACAGAGACCTTGGCAGCAGGACAGCTGGGGTCATGCCAGTGTCTACCTGGAGCAAAGAGCACCGGCTTGATGCAGGTGGGGTGGAAGATGCGGACCACGGGGTTCCAGGGCCCCACCCACCAGCAGCACACATCCCCAAAGGTGCTCGCCAGACCCTGCGTGTACAGCAGACCTTCTTCTGAACCCCGGATCTGGAGAACAAACAGAACCGGATGCACACTCCCCTGGGCTACCAGAGAAGGACCTATAGCACTAGACCAGGACAGGGAGTGCAGGGAATTCCACTCAGCAGGTCATCATCCTCCATGCTGAGCCCTGCCTGGGCTCTCTGCCCGCATCCTCTGCACATAACAGTCTGGATCCCTCAGCTACAGTCACAGAAATACTCCTTCCCCTCTTGCATCCCAAACACTACACACCTGGGTCATCTTCCATTCAGTTTCCCAGATAGGCATTGAGGCTCTGAATGAGAAAGTCACATACACGCTCATGGCCCTCCAGATAGTGAGTCACATGCCTGTGACCAGAGTCTGAATCCATATGCTGAGTGCTTAACCACTAACCTGCTTTGTGTTCCCCCAAACAATCACACTGGGGGTCCCATGCCTGCCAAGACTTGGGCAATCAGAATTGCAGTGATTAAATGGGAAATCTACCCTCCGATTCAGGCCAGGACAATTGAAGTGAATAATGGGTCATTGATGGTAATGCTGGGGGAATGAAGAGCTCTTTCATGGAAGTGAACTTCCGGGGCTCTTCATTCAAGCCCTGCCTTGAACGGAAAGTGGTGCCAAGAGAGCAGACAGATCTCTCTGGACATTATTTGAGAGCTGGATCTAACTGAGCCTGAAGATCAGCCTCCCTGGACTTTACACTAAACAGATTCCCTCTCTGACTTAGAGCACACCGTAGTGAGTCTCCACCATCCACAACTGAAAGAGACTTGAGCAGCCAGAGAGTCAGGGACCTGCCCCAATCACCAAGCACTTTGGTATCAGAGCCGTTGCTCTTTCCCCTGCTCAACTTGGTCTAGCCAAGAATGGGAAGGGCAGCGGGCAGGGGGAATGAACTAGGCTGGGGTGGAGTCTCCTAAGAAAGACTCCTAGGGCCTGGAGCAGGAGGGCAGGGAAAATGCAGGGGACAAGCCACAAGAAGGAATCCACCCACCAGAGTTGGGCATCGTGGAAATAGCAGCCACGCTCCTCCTCCAGCCACAAGCCCTCCTCGTGGCTCTGGGTCTGCAGAAGGGCAAGGCTGGGGCAGGAGTGGCAGAGGGGCTTGGGCGCATCCCCTGCCCTGCTCTGGTAGCTCCTCCTCCAGGAGGGCTCCAGCTGCCCTGGCAGAGACCCTGCTGCCCACCAGCTGCCACAATCTGTCTCCCTCCAGCCCATACAAAATGTTGGGGTTATTGGTCTAGATCCATTTCCTTGAACTAGGGGATCCCTCCAGGAAAGAGCCCTGGATTAAGGCCTCTTGGGACTCTGGAGGCACTGAGAACACTAGGGTGGAGGGGTGACCACAGTGGAAGAAAAAGACAGTGAGATGGGGTCTGTGGAGCCCACGAAAGAGAGAGGAAGAAGGCGGAGAGGAAGAGGGAAGAGGGGGCTGGGCGAGGCAGGGGCCCACGGAAGCCTGTAGGTGGAGGGCACTCAGATGTGTCATAGCGCCCACCACCAAGAGCTCTGCATGGGTACCTGAGGCACTGAGGACAGATCGGACGATGTTGGGGTGGCACAGAGTGACGATGGGAATGATGGGGCCCAGCCATGTCATAAAGCCCTGAGGATAGGTGCCCACCAGCTTCGACACTTCCTTCAAGCCCTGCTCTGTGGGTTGGATCTGAAAACAAGGCAGGGGTGGTCACCTCCTGACATGGTTGATGTCAAGTGTCAGCTTGTCAGATGTCCCCTGAAACATGATTTCTGGGTGTGTCTGTTGGGTCATTTCCAGAGGAGAGTGGCGTCTGCATTGGTAGACTGAAGACGCACCCTCCCCAGTGTGGGTCCCCTGAGGGTCCAGAGAGGACGTGCAGGCAGGGAAAGGACAGGTTCGATCTCTCTTTGGAGCTGAGAACTCTTTCCTGCCCCTGGACATCAGAACTTCAGTTCTCAAACCTTTGGACTCAGAACTTAACATCAGCAATCTCCACCCAAGGTTTTTATGCCCTTAGGCTCAGACTGAACTAATGACACCACCATTCCCTGGTTCTCCAGCATTGATAGTGTGTAGTGAGACTTCTTGGACTTCATAATATATGAACCAGTTCCCCTAATAATCCCCTCTTCTCTCTCTCTCTCTCTCTCTCTCTCTAAATATACATACATATGTGTGTGTACGTATATACACCACACATGCATACGTACATACACACATATCTTATATACATATGTACACAGATATATGTATTTATTTATGTTTGCGTAATGTCTATATATATATGTGTGTGTACGTATATATATGCATGTCTGTATGTGTAGTACAATCATGTGTATAGTAGTCCCTTAAGATTGCAGTGCAGCTGTTGGGTGTGGTAGTTTTCACCTGTAATCCCAGTGACTCAGGAGGCTGGATTAGGAGAATCTTGAGTTCAAGTTCAGCTTCAGGAACTTAGTGAGGCCCTAAGCAACTGAGCAAGACCCTGTCTCTAAATAAAATATAAAAAAAGGGGCTGGGGATATGGCTCAGTGGTTAAGCACCCCTGGGTTCAATCCTTAGAACACAACAACAACAACAACAAAAATTACAGTAGCTGAAGAATTTGAAGAACGGCTATCACCCAGCACTTTGTTCTTTTTCTGTGTTCGAATACTTTTAGATACATAAATACTTAGTACTGTGCTCCACTTGCCTACAGCTTTCAGAAAGGTAACAGGCTGCCCAGGCATGAACCTAGGAACAACAGGCAACACCACGTAGCCTGGGTGTGTGCACGGCTACACCGTCTAGGTGTGTGTGAGGCCACCCCCTGGTGTAGGCAAAGGACAAAATCGCCTCATGACGAATTACTCAGTAGGGTTCCCATGATTAAGTGATGAAGGACTTTGTGTGTGTGTGTGGTGTGTGTGTGTGTGTGTGTGTGTGTGTGTGTCCGTGTCCTTTCGTTCTCTTTCTCTGGAGAACCCTGACTAATAAACCATCCCAAGAGCCACAATAGGGGCTTCCTACGGCCTCTGCAGGTGGTTTGCCTTCTGCAGTGAACACATGTCCCAATTTTGTAGGGATGGAGGGAATCTCTGCCGCTCCTGTCCCATCCCTCTCAAGACCCTATCCGAGTCCCAACAGTGCATCCCAGGGCAGACAGAGAAGTCAGGTGACCTCCATCTCTCCATCAGGACTCTCCCACCCATGAGCACCTGCTGCTACCCACATTCTGGCAGATCATTCTGCGCATGCTCTCACTAAACCTGTGCCCTTTACAAGGGAAGCAGCCAGAGCACAGCTCCCTAAAGTGGAGGGCAGATCTAAGGTCAAGGTTTAGAGTAAAGGGTGGGGTCGAGGAAGGCTTCTGCAAAGGGAAGTGGCAACCAACTTCAGTCTGGGTTGGGCAACAGGGCCCATGGGTTCATCTTAGGGGAGAAGAGAGATAAGAGGAAGGCGCCCCAGGAGGGAGAAGGGGGAGGCAACCCAGACCCACCTCTTGGCTGAGCTAGTCCACGGGAAGCGATTGCTCATTTCCGTGAACAGCCCGAAGCCCATAGATGGGCAGACACAAAGAAATGGTTCAGGTAGGAGCAGACCTGGTCAGCACCCCTGTGGAGGACTCAAGTCCAGCAGCAGAGAATACGGGAACACCAGGGGGTCCTCACTCCGTGTAGCCCACCCTGGGAGCCCCTCAGGGATGCACCAACGCGGCAAAGACAGGCCAGAAATGAATCCCAAAGCAGACTAGGCCGCGGGAACAAGGAGGTAAGAGGGGCTCGGCCCATCCCGGGGTGAGCACACCCCAGAGCACCTGCCTTCCTTGTTCTCTGCTGTCCGAGACCTTAGCCCACCCAACACCCAGCTCCCTGAGCCCCATTCCTGACCCCTCAGCAGTCCATACACCCCAATAGCCCAACCCAGCCTGCTGCCACACTCACCATGCCCACGTGACCCAAGAGCCAATTCCGTTTGGGGGGCTGCGGGAAACATTGGAGGCGACGAGATTTTTCATAAAAAGCATAGATCCAGGTCAGGCTGCGGGCCAGGAGCCAGGAGGCCCCCACCAGCAGCAGGAGGACCCAGGGAGAGGCTTCCATGGGCCCCAGTCCCAGCCAGGACAGGCTCAGCTGTGGCATGCTGCAGGAAAGAGGGGACAGAGGGTGAGCTGCGGAGGCCCAGGAGAGACGATTTCTCTAGGGTCCCTGGGCAGGGACAGTGGTGTGAAAAGGGCAGGAGGGCTCAGAGAGGGGAGCAAGAGCGAGGGCAACCCAGGGAAAGCATCAGGGAGAGCAGAGACGAAGGTGGAGGAGGAAGAGGAGAAATTGGAGATGGGAGGAGAACAATGAAGAGAGACTGATGAGAGTCCAGATCTTCCTGAGTCATAGACAAATTTCCGGGGACTGTTACCCGGAAACCACCAGTTTCCCAGGCTGGCTGGCTCCCTGGAGCTGCCCCAGCCCTGGGCAACATCCTTCCCATATCAGGTAAAGATCCTCCAGTCCCACCAAATCTAGTCTGGCACCTTCTGTCAGGAGCAGCTTGTCCCCAACAGGCTCTTCTCCTCTCCTCTGGGATTTCTTTGTCCCTGGTTGATGACCTGGAGGAATCTGTGGGAGGCTGGGCTGGGCTGGACCAGCCAATCCCAGCAGGCCTGCCTGGGCAGGCAGCCAAGAGTCGGGGTGGAGCCAACTGGGTGCAAAGGGGAACCCTTCCGTGGTCACGGGCATGGGCACGGGCACTACGTCCTTAGAACTTGGCATCTCCTACCTGAATAGAAAACATGTTGTGGGGGGTGAGAAAGGGTGACTGAGTGATAAAGTCTACAGCCCCACCTGCTCTTTCAAAGCCAGGGTGCAGGAGGTCGAAGGATGGATTTATGAGTTCAGGAGAGCAGGGCCAGGCCAGGCCTTCCCCCAGAAGGTCTCCAGACCTCCTCTCCAAGCATGGACTGCGGGAACATCACGCACCATTGCTCAGTGAAAAAACAAGGAGGCTCAGAGATGGAGACCTGTGGCTGACCAGCGGCATAGCCTGGCAAGAGTTCAAGTCCTGCTTCCAGCCAGCGCAAGGCCTGGAGTGAGACCTGACTTCTAGGAGCAGCAACAAAGAATCCAGCCCTGCCGAGCATTACCTGGATCAGATTCCAGGGATAAGGAAACCAGCTGAAAGAGCTCACCTGGGGCTGGGCTCATTTGGAGCAGGAAGGTGAGAGAAGAGAAGGGCTAAGAGGGGACCTCAGGTAATGGGGCCCAGGCAAGGGAGGGCAGAGCCAGGAGACCCTCGTCCTTGCTCTGATTGTGGAGCGCTAGCCCTCCTGGGCTCAGTCTTTCTATATGGGAATTGGGGTATCAGGTGAGAACATTAGAGGGGGCATATGGAGTATAGGAAAGGGGCTGGCAATTACGGCCTCACCTGCTTGAAGCCAGTCCTGTACTCTGCAAAAGACTGTAGGTCAAGTCTTTCTACTGTAGGCTCTACTTTTACATAAGGCAAGACTACTGTGTGCCAGCAGCTCTACATAAATGGGACCTACTAAGTGCAACTTGATCTGCATAAACTATGCCCACGGAATGCTACTTACTTTTCACAGGGTCTATGTGCTGTACCCGTAGCATAAAGCATGCCTACTGAATGCCACCTGCTCTACATAAGGCATGTCAACTGTGTGCTGAAATACTCTACAGAAAACATCCCTCCTGAATATTATGTGCTCTACTTAAAGGGCACCTATTGCACACCATCTATAGTGCTTAAAGCATGGCTACTGTGTGCATATTCTACACAAAGTGTGTCTGATTTGTGCCGGATGCTCAGCTGCATCACAATGCCCAAGGTTTCCTGCTAACCTCTCCTCAGTATCTAAGAACCCAGACCCTGAAGCCCAATCCCTCTTCCAGGCTGATTCACCTCCATTAATTGAGAACAATGCCCTTTTATTAATTGGGACATTTAGACATGGTGGAAGCTCAGACCATATGGTGGCCCCAGAAGAGAAACACCTTGAGACACTTGAATCACCTGTCCCCTCCTCCTGCACTCAGAAGCTTTCACCCAACAGGTCTGGGGCTCCCCTCCTGGCCCTCTCTGTGTCCTGTCCAGGGTTGCCCTGCAGGGTGGTCTCAGGTGGTGGGGGGCTTCAGGGATTGAGCTTCTGGGAAGGAATGTGGGAAAGAGACGATCTCCTGACACTGGTAGGATGTTAGGGAGACCCCCAAACCTCCCTCTGTACCCCCACTCAGTGGCTCTCTGTTCCTAGAGCCCAAAGTATGGTAGTGTGTGCCCTCTCCAGAGTCCCCTACACCACCCAGGGAAGGACTTCACCTGTTGGCAGGTCCATCTGTGTCAAGGCCAGGGGACAGTGCAGCTAGATCCACAGCCCTAGTCCTGGAGACAGGATAAAGATGCCCTATGGCTGCAGTTGAAGATGCACTATGTGCCTGGGAGCATCAGGCAGCCTAGAGCAGGTTGCTGGCCACTGCCACATTTGCCTGCATGTCACAGGCCTTGACTGAGTCCTTTAGGTATAGTAAGTGCTCCCCCACTTTATGAATGGGAATAAGGCTGAAAGAAATTTAGATGATTCGCCCAAAGTCACACTGCTGGTGGAGTCAGGGGGCCTGGCTTCGTACTGTGTGCCACTAACCACTAGGCTGCACTGCTTTTTGTCTGTGCCCCACTCCCAACAGAAACAGCCAGCAGATGCAGCACAGCAGCCTCCAGGCATGCAGGTTCAGGCCCTCAGCCGACAAACTGACCGGTGAAAACTCTGGAGCAACCTGGAAGTAGCTCCTGTGCCCTGTTTTTCCAGGAGGATCCATAGCTGTGAGTCCCAGAGTTATCAGGTGACTCAACTCTCATTCAGACATATGGGCCCACAGAAGGCATTTCCTGAGGATAACCCCAAGCAGCCTGTGGAGAAATTCACACATACACAATGGCAGTACATCCACAAAAGGGCTTACAGAGGAGCATGCCACAGACGCCAGCCACCAACCAGTGTGTCCAGATACAAGGCCCTGACCTCAGACCTGTGCACTCCAGAGGGCAACAACCCTATGCTCTCCTCCCCTCGGCTACCAAACACCACATCAAACAGACTTCCATGCCTCTGCCTTAGACTGCCGCACCATGCACACCCCAAAATGTACACAGAGAGCCCACACTGGATTTGACAGAACTGAATATGCGGAGCTTTTCTTCAGGAGGGTGCACAAGACTATACCCCTAATAGGGAATAGCCAGGCTGCTAAGTCACAGACAATCAGAGACCATCTTGTATGACCCAACAGAAAGCTAATAGATACCCAGACACAGTGAACATCAGAGAGAGCCTCCTAGGGTGGTGTTAGAGGTGAGCAGGGGTGATCACTACCTCCATACCCAGGGAAACCGAGGTAAAGCTCAAGGCTGGTGGACATCTTCTAAAGGTCCCAGTCCTAATGAAATCCAAATCAGGAAGTCTCAATAAGAAATTTCTCCACCTTGGATTATTATAAATAGCTCTTATGTCTTTTTTTTTTTTTTTTTTTTTTGTACCAGGGATTGAACCCAATGACACTTAGCCACTGAGCCACATCCTCAACCCTTTTTATGTTTTTTATTTAGAGACAGAGTCTTGCTGAGTTGCTTACAGCAACTAAGCAAGTTACTGAGGTTGTCTTTGAACTTGTGACCCTCCTGCCTTGGTCTCCCTGGTAGCTGGGATTACAGGCATGTACCACTGTGCCCGGCTCTAATGTCAATTTTAACTTTACATATATTAGTTTTCATTTTGCATCAGCAAATGTTCCTTTATTATTCAATATTGCACCCTTGCTTGGCTGAGTCTCAGGCCCTAGAAAGAAGTTTTGGGGTTCTGACAATTGAAAGAAGCAAGGTGCAGCTGGGATAAGAGACATACTTTATTTGGAGGTGGCAGCAGCCCTTCCTCTTATCCCCAAGTCTCTCCATAAGTCTTTTTTATACGCAGGCCAACCAAAGAAGGCACAGTGCCAACAGGTCACACAGTGAGCCCACGCTCACAAACAGATATTTATGACTTTGAGTACATATGCTGAATCAGTTTATGACCTTGACTACATACTAAAAATATAGCTCACCAAAGTCTCAGTGAGGGATCCTAACTATAGCCATCTTGGACCTTCCTTAAAACTCTCAACCCATTAGATTCTATTTCTCCTGTTGTTTTAAAGCATTAACTGGAGTCACTCTCTTAATCTTTGTTTTCCTAGCTCGGGTTTATACCTGCCCCTCTTAGTCTCTCTTTCCTTCTTACATTACCTACTCCTGCCTTAAATCCCCTCATTTTTTCTTCTTCTTCTTGCCTTGGTTTGTATTATTCTTTTCTTTTTATTTTTAAAAAATATTTATTTTTTTAGTTATAGGTGGAGACAATATCTTTATTTATTTTGATGTGGTGCTGAGGATCGAACCTAGTGCCTCATGAATGCTAGACTAGTGCTCTACCTCAACCCCAGCCCTCTTTTTATTTTTTTACTTGCTCAATTTTTCTCTCCTCCCATTTTCAGCCCCTGTATAATAATAATTTAATGATCTTTAATAACTAATTTCTTAATCTATTTCAAACAGTACTGCAATTTTATACCCAGATTAGGGAAACTGTGGAGTACATTTTCAACCAGTTTTCCTCCTAAGATTTATTAGTACATGACTTTGCTCTGAGTGATTGCAGTTAATAGAGCTTAGTATCTTCTCTCCAAGTGGCACTGATTCTGGGCACAGTGGAGCGTACACACTGAGTGGGAGTATCAATACCTGGATATTCACCCAACCTGGGGAACTGAAAAGAAAGAAGCTCACTAAATTGTCCCTTGCATTAGTCTAGAAGAATAATCGTCCCAGCAGATGGATAGACATACAAAAAATATAAAAAAACTACCTGCAAAAGCCCACAACACTTGAACACTTGATCCATTGACATAATAGTGGAGGAAATGTTGGAGAAAAAATTTAGAGAGTTCCTGGTTCAATGAGCTAAAAGAAGATGTAAGGAATAAACTTAGAGAGAAAATACAGAAAGAGAAATCATTTCAATAAAGAGGGATTCTGATAAAGAACCGAACAAAAATCCTGGAAATGACTCAATAAATGAAATTTTTAAAACAGTTGAAATTATCATCAATAGATTAGATCACAAAGAATAAGAATTCTTAGACCTTGAAGACAAAGTATATAGTCTTTAAAAGAAAGCTGACAATAAAGGAAAAATGTCAATAGACCATGCATGTCCAAAAGTTTAAAAAATTTGTGGTAACATTAAGAGACTAAATCTAATAATCATTGGTGTCAACAAAGGCACCAAAATCCAAACTAAAGGAATGCACAATCTTTTCAATGACATAATATCAGAAAATTTTCTGAATCTTAGTAATGAAGTAGAAATCTAAAATACAAGGTGCAAACAGGCAAGATGTAAAAGACACATTGTAATGAAAATGCCTAATACACAGAATAAGAATAGAATTTTAAAAGCCATGAGAGAAAACTAACAGATCATATTTAGAGGAAGGTCAATTAAGATTTCAACTGATTCTTAGCAAGAAGAGTGAAGCAGGAGGCATCGTAATACCAGACCTTAAACTTCACTACAAAAGGACATGGTATT